TTTTAATAATATTCCTATGATATTCATTATAATTATAATTATTGCTATTAGTAAAATTGTCATTATTGTCATCGCCATTGTAATTAAAAAAAATAAAGAAATGAAGTAATAGCACAATTTTCATATAAAAAATATTTCTTTTGTCCCAAAAACATATATAGACTATTAGTTATCATTATAGAGTCAACGTAAAATATTAAAATGTTAAATGAATTAATTTATTATATATACATTCCTCTTTGTAATTTTTTAATAATCCATATTTTCATTTATTTGTTGATTGAGATAATATGAGATTATTTATGATAATTTTTTGTTTATATAAGATTAATGAAAAAAATATTAGTACATGGATTATTGGAATTAAAATTAAGGAATGAGAAATAAATGGTGTAACATATATATGAAATTAAGAAATAAAAATTTATACTAATGATATTGATTTAAAGATGAGTTTAATAAAAAAATAATATTAAGTATGAGTAAAAATATAATCTTGGTTACTACATTATATTACATGTACATTGTATGAAATAAAAATTGTTTAACATATTAAAAAATTAAAATAAATAAAGAAAAAATTATTTTAATAAAAGTATTAAATTTCAAAAATGTATTACTCATTTCAACATTTTTTAATTTTTTTCAAAATTTTAAATTTTTTCCAAAATTTTCTTCCAGTTGTTTTCAACTCCTTCCTAATTTTTTTCCAATTTCTTCTACTTTATTACAACATCCAATTTTTTAATTTCAAACCAAAATATAAATTTTATCCCGAAAATATGATTTCCATGCTCTTATTCTCGAAATAAGAATTTGCTTTGTGACATTTGGACACTGTATATTGGCCTTGTTTGGATATTGGTTGTTGGCTGTTTGTGTCAGCTATTCTGACTTCTGAATAGTTCTTTAGTTTAGATGGTTCGACCGACTGATCGTTAAAAATCTATGGTGAAATTAGCTGCTTTAGAATAAATGTTTCAATTTAAAATATATATATATATATATATATATATATATATATATATATATATATATATATATATATATATATATATATAAAAGAGAGAGGCGTCTTGATAAACGCCCTTCTCTATATTTTCTCTCCCATCTTCCTTCATTTCTTCCGAATCCTCTTTCTCCGAATCTCAAAAAACCGTGAAAAAATGAGAGAGTGCATTTCAATCCACATCGGTCAGGCCGGTATCCAGGTTGGAAATGCTTGCTGGGAACTTTACTGCCTCGAGCACGGCATTCAGCCCGATGGCCAAATGCCAGGTGATAAGACCATTGGAGGAGGGGATGATGCATTCAACACCTTCTTCAGTGAAACAGGAGCTGGAAAGCATGTACCCCGTGCTGTCTTTGTTGATCTTGAGCCAACTGTTATTGATGAGGTAAGGACTGGAACCTACAGGCAGCTTTTTCACCCTGAACAGCTCATCAGTGGCAAGGAGGATGCAGCCAACAACTTTGCCCGTGGTCATTATACAATTGGCAAAGAGATTGTTGATCTGTGCTTGGACCGCATTCGAAAGCTTGCTGATAACTGTACTGGTCTTCAAGGGTTTCTTGTATTCAATGCTGTTGGAGGAGGGACTGGTTCTGGCCTTGGATCTCTGCTCCTGGAACGTCTCTCTGTTGACTACGGAAAAAAATCAAAGCTTGGTTTCACCATTTATCCTTCCCCACAGGTCTCCACTTCTGTGGTTGAGCCATAAAACAGTGTCCTTTCTACACACTCCCTCCTCGAACACACTGATGTTTCCATTCTGCTTGACAATGAGGCCATTTATGACATTTGTCGCCGCTCCCTTGATATTGAGCGTCCCACTTACACCAACCTCAGCCGTCTCATTTCACAGGTCATCTCTTCGCTGACTGCTTCTCTGCGATTTGACAGAGCACTGAATGTTGATGTGAATGAGTTCCAGACCAATCTTGTCCCATACCCAAGGATCCATTTCATGCTTTCGTCTTATGCCCCAGTTATCTCAGCTGAGAAGGCCTACCATGAGCAACTCTCTGTTGCCGAGATCACCAACAGTGCCTTTGAACCATCATCCATGATGGTCAAGTGTGATCCCCGTCATGGGAAGTACATGGCTTGATGTCTCATGTTCCGTGGTGATGTGGTGCCCAAGGATGTGAATGCTGTTGTGGCCACAATTAAGACCAAGCGCACCATACAGTTTGTGGACTGGTGCCCTACTGGATTCAAGTGCGGCATCAACTACCAGCCACCCACAGTTGTTCCCGGAGGTGACCTTGCCAAGGTGCAGAGGGCTGTCTGTATGATCTCCAACTCAACCAGTGTTGCTGAGGTCTTCTCCCGCATCGATCATAAGTTTGACCTCATGTACTGCAAGCGAGCTTTTGTCTACTGGTATGTCGGTGAGGGTATGGAGGAAGGTGAGTTCAGTGAGGCACGTGAAGATCTGGCTGCCCTTGAGAAGGACATGAGGAGGTTGGTGCCGAGGGAGAGGATGATGATGAGGATGGAGATGATGTTGAGTACTAGAGAGTCATTGCCGGCTGGCTCTCTCTGTTTATGTTTGTTCCGTTTAATGTCTTCATTTTTCTCATTTCGACTGGAGTTGAAGTTTATTTCATTTTCCCCAATGACTATTATCTTTGTTTGTTTGGTCTGGCTATGACAATATTAGTTACTCCCTCTCTCTCCAATGAAAAAAAAAAGAAATATATATATATATATATATATATATATATATATATATATATATATATACACATACACACACATACATACATACAATATATTATTTTCATTTGTATACGTGTAAAAATTAAGTCTTCAATATATGAAGTACTAAATTTCACTTTTCTATAATTCATACAAAAATTAATAGTATATAAATTTTTAATAGTTTTTTTATTTTGATTTTGTCATCAGATATATTTTGATTTTTTTCAATTTTTAAAATTTAATTTTTTTTACTTTAATTTTTTTACATATAATAGTGAATATCTTTCAAGAAAAAATAATTTTAAAGAATTAGTTTTTCTAACAGCCAAGTCTAAAAGCTACTCCATTTGGCTTTCCAAATTTTGACTTTTCAGATCAAATAGCCAAGTGAAAAAGCCATTAGTCAAATACCAATTTTAGCTGTTCAATTAGTCAAAACGCAAAAGTTAGTCAAAGGTGCTGAAAGCCATTCGAAAAACCATTTTTCAAACACAGTCATAGTCATTTCACTATGTTTTTTGTATTATATATTGTATGATATATGATTATAGTCATATATAAACACTGCCATAGTCATTTCACAAGGTCATTTCCAAACATAGCCATAGTCATTTCTAATATAGTGATAGAGGACGTCTATCACTATATTATTCTGAAACAAAACTAAAATAGGAGTAAAATATGTAGAAAATATTAAAGTAGGAGATTCATATATTTTTTATCCCAAAATATAAGATACGATATACGGAGTATAATACAAAAAACCTTGTGAAATGACTATGGCTATGTTTGGAAAATAGTTCTTTGGATGACTTTTGGCATCTTTGACTAATTTTGGCATTATTGACTAATTGAATAGCCAAAATCGGTATTTGACTAATGGCTTTTTCACTTGACTGTTTGATCCGAAAAGCCCAAATTCAGAAAGCCAAGTGGAGTAGCTTTTAGACTTGGCTGTTAGAAAACTAATTTTTTAAAATCATTTTTTCTTGAAAGATATTCAATATTATATGTAAAAAAATTAAAGTAATACAAAATTAATTTTAAAAACAAAAAAATATAAAAATAAATCTGATGACAAAATCAAAAGAAAAAAAATATTAGAAATTTATATACTATTAATTTTTTTATGAGTTATATGAAAGTGTACACGTATAAAAATGAAAAAAAAAGTATGTGTGTGTCTTTACACACACACAGATATATATATATATATATATATATATATATATATATATATATATATATGTATGTATGTATATATATATATATATATAACTATAGATTTTCAACGATAAGCCAACACTACCAGCCGGTCGAATGATAAAGAATTTTGGTTTGACTCAAAATCCCGTAGTAGTATAGGGAATAGACTAGATCTCGAGAGATCAGTTTATTCCCGTGTCATCTCAAAGATCGGTTCAAGGGAAGGCTTAGTAAGACTAGCTAGACAAGATTTACTTGTTGAATTAAAAAGTTTTCAAGAATTCGATAATAAGTAGAAATTGACTTTAACTTTTTAGGATTAAAAGATAGGGAGGAATGACACCTGAGTAGAAATTGACCTTTGACTTTAATTCCTATCTCCAGAAAGTTTAGGTACTATTCTTGAAATTTATTCCACATTTTGTTGAAAGAAGACCAATCTACTCCCGTGTCCAATCCTTCATTGCTACTATTTCCAGTAAGTTTTCTCCTTCAAAACCCACTAGCCCAGAATTTTGCCATGCCAAACAGTTCCTCCGTTGGACGAGAACACAATTTAACCATCAGCAACATACACACACACTCCCTCCGTCCCAAATTGAAGATTACACTTTGACTGCAAGGAGTTTAAGAAAAGTGTTGAAAGGTAAATGGTGTATGGTGAAAATTGAAAGATGTGTGGTTAAACTTCAAGAAGTTCGGCAATGAGCTCTTCAATTTCTTCTTCTGTCAAAGGCTCCTGCCGTTTACACAAAAAACCAACATAGCTACACAAGTATTTTGAGACAGAAAAATATGATTTTCAATAGTTATATTTTGTGAAAGAATACCTCTGTATAACGTAAATGCATTAATATTTTTCTTAGATAAGTAATAGCGTAAATTAAATATCTAAAATAATCTTGGTGCATCATTTAAATTATGACAAATATCAATTGAACATCCATTCAGGATTTGTCAAGTATTCGAATAACAACCAAATACAAATCTCATTTAAATTTCATTTCGTAATCAGATTCGTATTTGAAAAAAATATGAATTTTCAAATGTTTTGATACTCGATTTATTTACACACTCCCTCCGTCCCAAATCAGTTTCATTTGCATCCAACTGAAGCAGAAGGATGAGGTAATTCTTCACTCATCAACCAACTAAACTGCTCATTCTTTCTGCCATGTCTCGTCTCAGCTGGCCACTTTCCTCCTCCCTTTGCCCATTATCTTCAACATTTCCTCTTCATTCCTTGTGATCATCACATGTTTGTCCTCTAGAGAGAAGCTAAACAGATGTACAAACAGTGGGCATTGGTAGCCAAATAAAACTTGCAGCCTGGCTTACTTAGTTGAGCACATTCAAGTCAATCAGAAAGTCTCTTCTATCTGTTGGAACAACAAAGAGAAAATAGTGGTGTCACTTTCACAAGTATCACCATTGTTATATAAAGGAAACAACCTCCCTCCTGCAAGTAACATGAACCAAAAACAAAGATTAGTGTGCTACTCACTCTGTCCCATTTGAAGAGTCCGGTGTCATCAAGATACAACTTTAAAATTTTGAGCAAGATATCACCACTATAAAATGTGATATTTATCTTGTTTTATCAAAGACGACTTTTTTGGAACAAAAACAAGTCAAGACAGTGGACTCTCTCTATGGAACAGAAATATTTGTGGCATACTGGCATTGTTATAAAACTCAAAAGGTAGTATAAATATAGAACACAGTTGCCTAATAAGGAGAAACCCAAAACTTAAATGAGCCCATGGCTCACCCGAAACTTAAATGAGCCATGTTATGCAAATTAAATTTCAGTAAAATATATTCAGATTCCCAAAGATGGTAAACCTGTGAGCTTTGAGGTAATATTGACTGCAGGTATGTCATATGACATGTTAGGAGTAAAGCCTCTCAACCGTCTCGCAATGGTTCAGACAGAACTTGCTATGACATGTCACCACAATTACTTGAGATACATCACTTTGCCTGTTGAATAGTCCAAGTGAATCTGTGCACAGTACAACTATCCACGAACAAATTCAAGGTTCCCACTAAATTTATTTGGGTATCCCAGAATAAGATTTACACTCATTTCATAGAAACAATTGTGTGGGTGAAATTCTCTCTAACTTTTCCAATTTCCAAATAAATTTTAACCACATTATTTTACATCCTTAAACTTCGTCCTCATTTCTTATGGAAACCTTAATTTAGGACTGAGGAAGTACCTAGAACAGAAGTTACCATCTTAAAGTACAACAGAACATCACCATTGAACAACAAAATATGTAGAATACCTCCAGCCAACCTTTGACTTGTGGAACAAAATTGTACAGGTCAATGAATTCTACTGGCCACACAAGGTTGCATCACATTTTTGCAATATACCATCAACCTCAAGTAGAATTAACTTAGAGTCATTGAGAGCAATACGACTGCTTTCGCGGACGAGGTAAGTGCACAGTTCATGTCTAGGTGTTGGCATAAGTGACCTTAGTTCAGCAAGGGGATTTGTGATCGCTAAAGAACTATACAATTCTTTAGCAGGTTGCACGTGGTCCCACCAGAAGTCCGAAAGTGCTTTTTCCATGGCTTTCCAATATTCTTCGTCTCGATACAACCTAAACAGGCTACTCCCTTTGGTAGTCCAGATATATAGGTCCATCCAATCTCGGTCTAAAATCTCCATCAAACCTTGTGCTTGAGGAATGTAATAAAGGGGAATTCTACTAAGAGGCCAAGCCTTGGTCATATCACCACCGAAGTATGGACATTTTATTTCCAAAACCCCTAGGGAAGGCAAACCATGGATAAATTTATCAATTACCCCATCAGGCGAAGCTGCAAGCCAACCTTCTTCTTCTGGATTCAATTTGTTTTGATGAACCTGAAAACCAATCATGGAGACATCATTGTTTCCAGTAATAAGCCTATATCTCTCAAAAGCTTCTTCTTCCTTGATGTTGCTCCAACAAGTGGCTATGTTGCCGTAGAATGGTTCGATAGCCCCGATTTTCTCTAACCAAAGTTGAACTCTTCGGCGGGGCCAAAAGCCAACAGCTTGACTGAAAGTGCTTGCCGTCAATTTACACTTTCTCAAATGTTGCCAATTTTTGAACCGGTTTTGTAAGCCACTTGATTCAAGAATCGGATGATGGTTCTCCAATGGATTAGCAGAACAGCTGATGTGCCTTTTACAGTGGTAAGAGTGCGGAGAAGTGCAGATGACCATAAAGATGTTACAACATTTGTGATTTGAAGAACATACAAAGCGATGACCAGCAAAACGCATAACCTTTCCTGAAGAATATATATATATATATTACTTTCAAATTGGAAATAGAGCGAGAAAACATCTGCTATCGTAAAAAAATACAATTTGATAAGAATCATTTCTATAAAATGGTTCATCTTCTAAGAACAGTATTTGAATTTGAAAAAATGATCGAAAGAATAATGAGCAGTTCCAATAACACTATTAATTGTTAAATAGAGCATGCAAAACAATAACAAAACAGTGAAAAGTGAATACTACATTACTACCTTCAAACAAATGTAACAAATGAGGAAGTGAAGGTATTTTTTTTTTTTTGTAGAAAAGGAACCAAGCTAGCATGAGTATTGACATGACAACAAAACTGAGCTATGATAGATTGATATGTATAGTAATATTGGGCAGTAATTATAATCGGTGTGTCAAGCAAGTATGCCTATGTTTTCGTCTGGATTTGTAATTCTAAAAGATATTCTATAAATTTGAAATATTCGATGTGTTTTAGTCCTTCCCCCTAGAGGCGCAACCGTGCAAGGAAGAAATACAGCTAAGAATAAAATTTTAAAAAAAACCTAGATGAATTAACCCTTAAAAACAATTTTATCAGCCAAAGAAAAACAAGAGGGTGTGTGGAACTAAATCTCTTATGTGCATATCTGCAACACAACCATCAGTGTGTTGAAATCTAAATGAAGACAAACAAATGTAAGAAAACAAGCCTGGAAGAAATGTCTAAGAAAAAATCTAATAGTCTAGTTTTTCTTGACAACTGGAGAGCATCACATTTCTCACTAATGCTCCCTAAATTGGCTGCAAGCAATATGCAATAAGAAAAGTATAATACAAACTTTAAAGAGCATCACATCAACTAAGGTAACAAGGTGTATTAGTTGCATATGGAACAAATGGTCGATCATGCATGTTGGAGAAAATTTACATGTTTTCCAACTGCAAACTGTTAACAAGAAGCACCATGTCTTAAAAATGAGAAGACGGTCCATGACAGTATGACACACATAACATGCTCGAATTCCACGCTCTAGTTTAGCTCAATGCCTCATAATTCAAACTACATGACTTCACCATATAGATCTTTGGATATAATACAAAAAATGGAAAAGAAACATGCATCTTTATATTTTACTGCTGGAAAGTACAGAGACAATTTCCAAGAGACCCCTCTAGAGTAACACTTTCAAAATGATTTTTTTTTGCACGGTACAATGATATGTCCACACAGGGATATAAGGGTAATTACTAACTTTTTAAAGCAAGAAGCACACTAAATCAACAAGTTGAGGCTTTTCTTGCGAAAAAAGCTGATGGAAACATTGCTTTCTCACAACATATCAATGCTTATAAACGAAAACAGATAATGTATCAAACAAATTTAAGGCAAAATAATTAAAGAATCAGAAAATCATGATAAAAATTCATGACGGTAGGCAATAACATGCCGAAGCTATTGAGCCATTGAAGTGCTTCAAAATTTTCAAGGCTTCCTTTTCTGTTAGAAGTTCAATTCTTAAGTGTTACAACATTTTTTTTGTCAGATATTCATTTCTGTTTCTGTATAGTGTAGCATAAGAAAGCATTCTTTGTTTTGAGATTTTCACAATTACTCCCTCCGTCCCCCAGTTTTTGCCCACTTTTGACTTTTGGAACTGTTCATCTAAGCACTTTGACTCATCAAATTCTCTCAATGTGTAAGCCTAAATATAGTCATGTGTGATCTTGTTTGATTTGTCTTAACATATAGATTATTAATATATAATTTCTAGAATTTTTTAATATATAAATTACAATATAAAATGGATTAAAGAGGTGCATTGGATGGTGTGTAAAAATGAAAGTGGACAAATACTCTGGGACGGAGGGAGTAGTATTTTTCAATTTTAGTTTATATGCACCTATATATTTTATGGAATTAATTAATATTCAGAATCGCATTTCAAACCCTAAAACATCTAACATTTGGTGTTACAACAATCTAATTTATAGTCTTAAACTGCATTCAGTTCAAATAAGAAAAATTCACATGAGAAACACAGAGTATTTAGCAACTACAGCAATTCATATGACAAGAAAAAAAGAGAGGTAGAAAATACTAGTGACCAGGTCCGGACCGGAAAACAAAAGGGCCTTGTGCAAAACATAAGTCGGGCCCTTTTGTACCTCATAGTTGCAAAATATTATATAAGTTTTATACTCCGTATTAATTATAACATTAGCTACAACAAAAATGCAAATAAAAAAACCTAAATAATAATTTACATTAAAATAGACATCCCCACGACATATTAAGATACAAATTCATCAATCAAATAATTAATTACTATTTCTTCTAAATTCTCACATTCATTTTATCATTTTTATGTCAAAGTCAATCCATTGAGTCTCTCTTGGGAGATAGTTTGATGTAAGTAATTCTTCAACACTTTAAAATGAAAAAAACTGAAACGTTTTTTTAAAAGAAAAGAAATTACTCGTACTATTTTACTTATTTTTGATAAATACATTTCTTTTTATTTGATAATAAAAAATTAAGATAAAAACACAAGCTTATAAAGAAATCAAGCATCAAATGAAAATTGAAAAACAAATGCTTGAAGGGAAATTCACTGATACGGAGTAAGTAATAAAGTTCATTCAGAATATGGGATAATCAAATTATCGTCCAATCATTCATCAGTTCAATCGTAACAGGGATGGAATATTACTTGGTATTTACCATTTATTGAATAATCTTGATAAATATGAAGTAGCTTTATACTCTGTATTATCATGTTTTTTTCTTTATAATCTCAACTATTTAATCAAGTTAATTTGAATTGAAGTTTTGAATTTTGGTTAAATTGTTTTAATACTAGTAGATTTGAACTTGTCTGGCTGTGACTTTGTTTACAATTAGTTTATTAAAATAAAGTAGTCTGTTATTGTTGATTGAATCAACAACCTAAATTTGTGTATTTTTCTGTCCTATGGCGCCGCCATAATTGTTGCCATGCACCAAGACAACGATGTATTAAGTTATCGGTGCTTGATATCAGATATCCTACATTTATCCACTCCCTTATAAATTCTTAAAGAAAAACTATACAAGAAAAATGTGTGAATCTGCAGCTTAAGGCCTTTTTGGTTCATATCGTGAATGTTAGCATTAACCGCATGAAATGGTGTTGAATTTTATGGCTGGAAATATTGTTTTCTCTTGGGGAAGAGGAGAGGATGGGCAGCTTGGTCATGGTGATGCTGAAGATAGGTTTTTTCCCACTCAAGAGAGTGCATTAAATGGCCAGGAAGTAGTATCTGTCATTTGTGGCGCTGATCACACAACAGCTTACTCGGAGTCACTCATGTAGATCTACAGTTGGGGATGGTATCCTCAATCTCTATTTTTCTATCAACTTATAATTGATTATTATTACTGGTACAGAGTGGTCTTGTGGAAACCCACTTCTTTACATGGATTTATATAAGTGAGGTACAATATATATTTGCTCATCAGTATGTACTTTTTTTGCAGGGGTAACTTTGGGAGGTTGGGCCATGGAAACTCTAGTTGCTTGTTTACTCCTCAACCAATAAAAGCATTGCATGGAATCCAGATCAAGCAAATTGCTTGTGGAGACAGCCATTGTTTAGCTGTTACAATGGAAGGACTGAAGGAGAAGTCCAAAGGTTTTGTGCATTCCTACTTTCTGTGATCTTGATGTAAACATGCCAAATTACACTCTCTTTTTTCTTATAAGTATAGAAGTTATTATGTTGGTCAATTGATTATTTGATTCAAATACTAACCAAAGCAGTTCTAACTTCTAAAGAGATATACTACTCTGTATTAGGTTAAAGTGGCTTATAAGGTTGCACGAGTATTTAAATTGTCCTAAGTACAAAAAAGCAGTTTGTTGTTAATGTCACAAGTAATTTAGCTGTGATGGGCACCTTAGATTATCACTTAAGTAAAGGATAATAATTTAATGTACATTGCTACTCTTTTCTGAAAAAGAGTCTTGTTGATAGTCATTGAAGTGAACTTCATCAACATTGAATTTATGAGCAGTTTTATGTGGATACATTATGTGTTCTTGTTAGAAGAAAATTCTTGTATTTCCCTTTCAATTGTTTGTTCTATCAACTTGAAGTTGGGGGAGAAATGAAAACGGTCAAACTGAAATTGGGGGGTCCTAATCTGGTTTATGTCCCAAAACATACACAAGCACAATCCTTCTCCAAACCAAGCCTAAAAACCAGCTCCTCATCCAAGTTTTCAAACTGAACCATAAACCAGCCCACCCAAAAGCCAGCTGCTAGCAGCCAAAAGCCTGATATTGAAAACCTAAAACCAGTACCCGAAAACCAAAAACCATCCCCCCAAAAGCAAGCAGCTCAAAACCAAACATAAGCGGATGACAACCGAAAACCATTCTCCCAAAAACTAGTACCCGAACACAAAAATCCACGCCCCAAAATCCACCTTAAAACCAGATGTTGAAAACCAAACACAAAGTAATTGGCGTATTAAGCCACCTTAAAACCAGAATTAAGCCAGTACAAAAGCTAGTAATTTCATAAATACGAAGTATTTAGGTTGCTCAAACAAATAGAGGAAAAGCATTCATCCCTAAGGAAAGACCATTAATGGTGCCAAAGAGTCAAACTTCAAACCCAATTGAAGAACAAATTTCACCAAACTTTATGAACAAAACGGATTCAGACAAGAAACAAAGTCAAAGATTATAGATTATTGAATTAGAAAGCCGAATGGATGCTCAAACCCTCGTGAGAAAATTAATCCAAACTCATCGTACTGGGAAATAAATTTAAAGTTTTAACCTGCTTTGGGAAAGATATTTTACAAGTATGATGGTTAATACAGATTTATTTTACCTGGCGGCTGACTGGCAGAGATCGTAACCCTGAGCCCTGGATTCGAGAGTAAGCAAAAAACCAGCAGAAAGAGTGGCGGAAGAAGCACTGGAAAAAGCCGTATCCCTCAGGTCATATCCCTAGCCACTGGTTGTCGGACAGAGTGGCCCAAGGAGCTCGTGTATGCCGGACTCGTAAGTTGTTATCGGCGTAAGATGTGCTAATCTGAGCAGTTCGATCGAAATTTTCTCAAAAATACTCCGGAATCCCAATTAGTTTGGAGCTGTAATTTTTTTAGAGGAAAGAATATTTACTTTTGGAATGTATTTTAATTTGGCCTAATTAGAAATATATATTAAATTTATTTTGAGAGTATTACAATTTGATTTATCAATATTGAGAGTATTATAAATGGCCAATTCCCTATTAACTAACAGGAAAAGGGAAAGTGATGAACTAACCTATATTCTTTTGTCACAAGTTAGATGCTTTTATGTTGGCCATGTGCAGCAATTGTCTCGTGACGGAAGTTATGTGGACCAAGTCATAATTGAATGTCGTGGGCGTTTGTGTGCTGAATGCACTATAAAGTTAGAATATGTACCTCTTTTAACATCAATTGGTTTTAGAAAAGTTAGTAACGGCTGAGGTCCTACATCTTACACACTTCTTTCAGTGATTGCATGCACCACTACTTAACTTTTTAAATAGTGTTACTTTAACCATTGCTATTTTCTTTCGCATTGGTGTTTAATAAGCATGATGATAGAATACAGTGTACAATGTATAAGAAAATTCTAAATCCAGTAAATCGTTAAAGTTCTGTGGGAATTGTTCTAAATCCAGAAACAATCCAAGTATAAATTAGAATAGAAAGGAGAAGACCCGTAGATCTAAGATATACCTTGACGAAGACCCGTAGTTGAATTGTACTCAGAGGAGTTGGTGGTCTTGCGGCCGAATCGCCTTTGTCGTCAGATTCCTTCACCGGGAACCCTAGGCCAACTCGATCATCTTCATCATCGCACGAGCCAAAACGGAATTGACTCCTAGAAGTTACAAGGAGTTCTAATAGGAGCCAAAACGCAATGGGAAGTTAGAAGAATACGGATTATATTTTTGTTTTTGTCAGAGTAGTTTTATGCAAGTGGGAACATACATTTTTAACAAATCATTAAAGTATTTTTGGGACAATTAGTGAAAATATTAATATTGTTTATATTTATAATGAGTATTTTATTATTAAAAAGAAAAATAAAAATTTGGTCATTAAAATTAAAAGTATTTAACCACAGTATTTTTTCCCGTCATAAATAACATATAAATAACACCTTTAATGAGAGTTTTTACTACCCGTCATAATTGATTCGTAGCTAAAAGTCCCTTTTCTTGTAGTGGTATTTTAGTAGTTTGTAATGGTATAACTACCGAGAAAAGCACCAATGATAGCCTGATCTTGACGAAACCAGATACCGTAGCAGGGATTCACCGTATCAGCGGCAGTCGTGGGGGGGGGGGCGTGAGAGTACCGTCCACATAACCGAAAAGATCAAGTCCAATGAGTGTAGATCGGACTTGACGCTGCCAAATGAGAAAATTGGTGGCAATCAATTTGATGGGGAAATGAGTTTTCGCATGAAGTTGGATCACCGGAGTGTCTTTGGTGATAATGTAGGCCATGAGGATGGTGCGGCGGTTGAGATAGCCGGAGGAAGATCGCAAATGACGGTCTAGAATTGCGGATCGTGAGAAAAAAATTTCTGCGGCTTTGATACCATATAGAGTTTGTATCAACTTGTATTATTCCATTGATACCAGAGGTATTTAAATAGATACAAGAGGAAGAGTTTGAACTATATACAACTACTCTAAGATAGGCACAACACTAACAAACTATCCACAAAGATAGAGTACATTGAACCAAGACAATTACGCACTACTTAGGAGACTCTTCCTTAATAGACAGTTTACCTGTAAAACCGAGTTTGTGTCGAAATTGCCAGTTTCCACAAATAACATTTTGGCTAGGGTGACATGGCACTAGTTTCCATGTTTTATTATTAACAAAGCATTGTATTCTTCATACCTAGGAGCTCGCGAGTTTGGATATTTAAGTGCACTATGGAAGGGGGAGGGGGAGATGGTGCCTGTGGTATTCAGTTTTTGAATTTTTTCGGGACGGGATATGCCTGCTTTGGAGCAGGTGACCATAGGATGATTATTTGTACGTGTTGTGTGGGTAATAATTAGACCTGGGAGATGAGTCCGTGTAGCAACGTTTTTTATGATAAAAGAGTTCCCAAAAAAATGAGAAGGAAAAAAATTAGACAAACGAAAAAAGCTAAAAAAGTGAATAGGGAGTAACAAAAATAGAACTCTTTTATCAATGGATTCCATTTTTGCCTCGTCATTGTCACACTGCACCGTTTGCACGTACTACTAGTTAAAGTAAAAAAAAATTAAGCAGGTAATATTATCTGACCATATTCTAGGATTTGCAGATGACTACAAAACATGGAAGCAGAGCTCTGGGGTTAAGCAAATAAAGCTCCTCTATGTTGGAATAGAGCCCAACTTTCCCAGCCAGGGAGTCGAACCCAGTCTGTCCTGCCATTTCTTGTACATTCTCCAGAGGCCTATGCACTCGGCCGGCTATCACTCTGCACACCACCAGAGCTTTTCTCGGCATGGGGTGCTCGCCGCCGTCGCCGTCGTGGTGGCCCCCAGCTGCGCGCTGGAGATCAATGGATTCGAAGGCTCGTCCGCTGGTGGAGGTGGTAAACACGCCTATCCCGTTCTTGGGATCCTTCTCCATGGAAAACCCGTTCCGGATGAGGTGGCAGACGCGGCACCTCTGGGACGCGCAGAGGCTGTGGGACCCGCCGGTGCCGAGCGGGCACGACACGGTGGTGCCGTGGAACCTCAGGAGCTCGTTCCCGTCGGCGAGGCACCGGGGGTGTTTCTTGGGGAGCTTGCCGGCTTTGGCCTTCACCATTTCCCGGTACTCTTCAAAGCAGGCGAGTGTTTTCTGCGTGTTGTGAACCTTTAGAACTCGGTCGATCATCCGGCCGCCGCCGCTGCAGCCGCCGGGTGGGCGGCTCTCGGATTTTAGCCAGCTTGACCGGCATATTATCTCCACTATTTTCCTTGACGAGTCACCTTCAGTAAGTTCTGTCACTGTCCAAGATCAGGCCATAATATATACCAGTGTGAGTAGCTGAGAGAAGTGATCAAATTCAATGGCAAACAAACCAACCAAACTCAAATGTTACAGTTGGGGTTCAATTTTGATTATTTTATCAATTATTTTTAATCTATGAACTATAATTAAATAAAATCATATTATATATTAATTATATAAAATAATATTTTGAAAATACTTTATCTAATAAATTTAATAAAATTATTTGTTTATTAATTTAGTATCATTTTTATCTAAATTGAAGTAAAAGTTTATTAATTTTGATTGAAAAAAGTAAAAAAATAGAGGAATATTTAGAGACTCAGGAAATACTACATATTTATGGTAGCCAAACTCTGCAGTGGGTTGGTAAGCCTTAACTTCTGTTTGGCCAAAGATTTTCCAAAGACAAATTAAAGAAAAGAAGATCCTGATGAAAAGTAATTTCGTGTTTGGTTATATTTACTCCCTACTACGGAGTATTTTTTTTTCGGTTGATTTTCTAATAAATAAACAAATAAATAGCACTTCTTTTATTTCAAAATAAAATTTCAAAATTGAGTACCCATTGTACGAAGTATAAAGAATACAGAGTACTCCCTCTCTCCAAAATAATATTTTCATATAATTTTTTGGGTTAAAATCTAAAAACTTTTATATTATAAAATTCGAAAATAAAATTTGATCAATATCATTTTATTTGTCTTAAAATTAAATTTTGAAATAACATATTTCTACGGAGTATTAGAAAGAAATAATGTACAATTACAAATATATATTTCATCTTAAATAGGACTAAAACATAGAGAAAAGTATCAAAATAGGACTTTCATGTTTTTTTTCGAAATAGGACTTGAGACTGTGGTAATCTGGTTGTAATGTGACATTGTACATGTGCACATTACTATACTTTTTGATAATGTACATGACCATGTTTGGTAATGTAAATGCATTTTAAGTTCTACTTTGTGAATAAAAACATGGAAGTCCTATTTTGATATATTTCCTATTTTGGTCTTTCTTTCTTACAAATATTAATGGATAAAGTATCAAGATAATAAAAATTACATTGAAATCTAATTTTGAGATGGATGGAGTATAATTCTTTTTCTAAAAAAATTATGAAACGTTTTGTTTTTTTGGGAAAAGGGGAAAAAGTAGACTTTTTCACTGGAGAAAGAGGAGTACAAATGCCACAGAAAAGAATACTCAAAGGCACATTCTGTTTCGCAGATATAGAAAACAAAACTGTGGATGGGAAGGAACCATAGGTTTTGTAAACGGAGACAAGTATAGATCTGGAATTGACTTCAAAGGTGTGCTGGTTTTCAAAAAAAAAAAATCATTATTCAAGTAATTAATATAATCACTCCATTTTTTGAAGAATGAATGGATGGGAAAAAAGAATTAATTACCAGCATGATGGGAAAGATGATGCACTTCAAGAGCTTCCCATTTCCCAAATTCTTCTCCACACCTGTGACATGTAACTGACGATGATGAAGAAGAAGAAGATCCAAAGCCATCAGCCGCTTTTCCTTTTGAACAAAAACCACCAAATCCATCTTTACTATTATTATTATTATCCCCCAAAACCAAACTTGTCCTCCTGCCCCTCCTCGAAATAAGGGTAGGAGGAGAGCTCGCCCTGGCCCCGTCCCCTACGGGGCCAGGGGTGCCCGGCCTTAGGGTGCCCACAAAGGAGCCGGGCAGACCCTCATGAAAGCCACCAAAGCTGGTGATTCGGAGCTCGCACCGGGAGTTGTTGCGCAGGACGACTTCGTGGGTGATTGGGTTGAGGAGCTCATTGCTCCCAATCGACCTCGGGCTGCAGCTGATAATGGCCCCGCCGCCGCCCTTCTCCTGCAAGTGCCTCTTGCTCCCGTGGATGACCACGTCTCTGAGGTTCGAGATTGACCTCGAACACCCAGACCTCACCCCTTGTTTACTCCTCGTCGTGATCGCGTTCAGGTGGCGGCGGTGCTTCCTGTTCTTGCTGCTAGTCGTCGTCTTCGGGCTGTGGACTTCTGATGGCTCTGACTTACACTGCATAGATCTCCTCAGTGAGAACCACACTGTGCCCTTATAAGTGCTCTTCTTCTCCTTCTCCCCCATCCACTCCACCTTTATCTGCTGAAACATATATGAACAAACCAACTTCTCTGATCTATCTATCTACTTTTACAATTTAAATTTTTAGCCCACACATATCTGCAGGCCACTTCCATTATTCTTCATCATCATTTCCTCCATCAAGCTAAGCTCAAAAAGGTAACAAATTGCATAGTTAAGCTAAAGCAGAATTTGAATTTCGACCACCATCATTGTTCCTTTGAAAGACGAGCATTTCCTTTTTTGTCAGCACAACAACAATTGCATCCCACACTACATACACCACCAAAAACCATGATATATTGTATAGACTTATTTATTTGTGCTTTCTGCTACAAATTAAGTACTGGCCGGCCGGAGCTAGTGCCGGTGGGATGAATAATATATATATATATATATATATAATGTGTGAAAAGAAAGGTAAGGAAATGGAGTGGAGGATTATATTCAAGCCAATTAAGTACTCGATCTATATCTTGTTTTGAATTCTTCATTTACTACTATATGGCCATTGATCGATCGATCCTTGCTGGGTCGGTTAGTCTCATTTATTGCTATCATCCAAACACAGGCCTCAGGCTCTAGCTGGCTGCCATATTGCCATTTCCACATACTAATACATGCAACCATATCATTCACATTGTTGGACGGACGGACCCAATAATGTTACTAATCCGTCAAACTATATACTTTAAATTTTATTCATCTAAATATTAATGTAAATAAAATTTTTTATTTAAAACTAAAGTCAAAAGTTTTTTTTAAAAAAAAACAACATAAATATATTATTTTAATAACATTACGGTTCATGTGACATTGAACCCAGTGCATAACATTACTGAGCCTTCTACGGTGTTGCATTGAAAAAATTGATGGCATCTACTCTCTAACTTCCCTGCTC